ATAGCCACAGTGACTGTAGGTCCTTTATTTATTTATTTGTTTGTTTGTTTGTTTGTTTGTTTGTTTATTTATTTATTTGTTTATTTGTTTATTTATTTATTTATTTATTTATTTATTTATTTAAAAACTCACTTTTGTGTCTTTATTTTGGCCATTTAACTTTTACCATACAAATGTTGCTACTAAATCTTTGTTTGTACGTTGTTCATAACCAGAAATAAGTGCCGCATTTTGGCAAAACTGCCACAAAATGCAGTCAAATGACCCTGGGACACCACACATAAATGTGGCTGTGTTGTGATCATAGAAACTTTGGATAAGGTCATAAGTAGCCCCAGGATAGGTTCATCGGAACTTTGAACAGTCACTAAGTGGCCAGACATAAGTCGAGAACTACAGGTCAGTCTTAATCAAGGGGTCTTCAAACTTGGCCCTTTTATGACTTGTGGACTTCAACTCCCAGAATTCCTCAGCCAGGCACACTGGCTGAGGAATTCTGGGAGTTGAAGTCCACAAGTCATAAAAGGGCCAAGTTTGAAGACCCCTGGTCTTAATGAACATGGATCAATACAGTTCCACTTTTCCCATTTTTTGGGGAGGGAGGGATACAAATTCTATGGAAACCTTTTGTGCTAATTAAGTGAAACATTGTTATGGGAATGACAGAAGAAAAACCAAAGTCTACTGTAATACGGCTTGCCTTGCTGGTATGTTGGCTTTTACCCTGACTGTCTGTTAGGTCTAATAATGCAAAAGCCTGGCTAATAATGTTTACTATTCCATTGTAATGAAAAACAGTGGGACCCCCAAAGAGCATTAATAGCATGTAGTGGCTGCCAAATGACACCAGATGTTTATGTAATAAAATATTTCCCACGCTCAAATAGTTGTTCATATTACTTCAGGTAATTATTAGGAAGACCCCGTGGAGCAACCTATTATCCCTGTGGTTTAATAGGGAATAGATTGAATGGTCTAAAATGTTTTTTATTTGTGGGGTGATTAACACTGGACAAAACTGCAGGAGACTTTGAATCGGATGTTTTATTCCAGGCAGCTATCTCTGTTCCTATAGGCTAGTGTTACCCATAATAATAATAATAATAATAATAATAATAATAATAATAATAATAATAATAATAATAATAATAATAATAATAATAATAATAATAATAATAATAATAAAAAAGTTGGAAGGGACCTTGGAGATCATCTAGTCCAACCCCTTGCTCAGGCAGGAAACCCTATACCATTTTTCTGGATTGGAAGGAGCTCTTAAAGGAAATTGCAATTTGAAACCAACCTCTCCCCCACACTTTTTTTAATAAAACGTAAGACGGTTTATAGTGTTCATACTTCTTCCTGTGTTGAATCTTTTTATGGGAGAAACGAAATACGACTGAAACTCTCCTATCTGTTTGTTTGTAACCTTCAGTTAGCTCAAACGCTGCTTCCTAGCACAAAAACATTTGAATCAAATTCTCTCACTTACTCGAGATTTGCCCCAGATTTCTTTTAGCTTTTATCTGACCATTGTCTTCGTTACAACTCTTCCGCCTGTTCTTCAAGATTATTCCTTCTTCTCATTGCAGTGAGGAAGAAGAGGAAGGGGGCTTTCTAAAGGGATAGAATCAAGATCACGTAAAGTGTTTATACCACTTTACAATGCCTTGGTAAGGCCACACTTGGAATACTGCATCCAGTTTTGGTCACCACGATGTAAAAAAAGATGTTGAGACTCTAGAAAGAGTGCAGAGAAGAGCAGCAAAGATGATTAGGGGGCTGGAGGCTAAAACATATAAGGAACGGTTGCTGGAATTGGGTATGTCTAGTTTAATGAAGAGAAGGAATAGGGGTGACATGATAGCAGTGTTCCAATATCTCAGGGGTTGCCACAAAGAGGGAGTTAACCTATTCTCCAAAGCACCTGAAGGCAGAACAAGAAGCAATGGATGGAAACTAATCAAGGAGAGAAGCAACCTGGAATTAAGGAGAAACTTCCTAACAGTGAGAACAATTAACCAACGGAACAGCTTGCTTTCAGAAGTTGTGAGTGCTTCATCACTGGAGGTTTTTAAGAGATTGGACAGCAATTTGTCTGAAATGGTATAGAGTCACCTGCTTGAGCAGGGGGTTGGACTAGAAAACCTCCAAGGTCCCCTCCAAGTCTGTTATTCTGTTGTAAGTTCTCTGAGAGAAGCAATCTAGAACTAAGGAGAAATTTCCTGACAGAACAATTAATCAGTGGAACAGCCTGCCTCCAGAAGTGGTGAATGTTCCAACACTGGAAGTTTTTAATAAGAGATTGGACAGCCATTTGTCTGAAATGGTATAAGGTTTCCTGCCTGAGCAGGGGGTTGGACTAGATGACCTCCAAGGTCCCTTCCAACTTTATCGTTATTGTTGTTGTTGTTGTTGTTGTTGTTATTATTATTATTATTATTATTATTATTATTATTATTATTATTATTGACTTCTCCCACCAAGAAGAATATAGGAAAATGGAGGCTAGCTCTTTCCTTCCTGTGGTGCATTAGGAATAAAGAAAATTAAAACAGTATATGGGTAGTCCTTGACTTACACCCACTTGTTTAGTGACCATTCAAACCTACAATGGCACTGAAAAAAAGGAACTTATGATTGGTTTTCACACTTAACGACGGTTGCAGCATCCCAATTTGGGCGCTTGGCCACCGGCCTGCCTTTATGACCGTTGCACTGTCTTGGGATCACGTGATCACCATTTGTAACCTTCCCAGCCAACATCCAACAGGCCAAGTGAATCAACCGCATGACTCAGTGAACGACTGTGGCCAAAAGGGTTGTAAAATGGGGGAAGGGAGATTTCGTTTAACAACTGCATGATTTATTTAACAACTGTCTTGCTTAGCAGTAGAAACTTTGGGCTCAAACATGGTTGTAAGTCGAGGACTACTTGTTTTCAAGGAGTAAAGATGATGGTCAATGCTTGATCAGCCAAAATTGGAGAAAGCAGCTTTAGCCTTCCATCAAATCTCCCTCTCCTTTCTCTATACCATTTGCACGGTCAAAAGAGAAAGTAGATTTTGACAGATGGCTGAACCCAGAGTTTTGCAAACAAACGAGGTATGAGGTGGCCTTCCTTTGCCTGTGAAAAACCCATTGGCTTGTGTATGCAAAGGGAGAGTAAGGCTTCTCATATTGGCTACATTGGGGCTTTGGGGTCAACTAGCTGGAGTAGTCAGCCTGAAACCCCAAACCAAACCAATCCTAGTCAAAGCAGGATTAATAGGAAGGCAGTAACTATACCAGGGGTAGGCAACCTTGGCTCTTTTATGACTCGTGGACTTCAACTCCCAGAATTCCTGAGCCGGCATGGCTCAGCTTGGAAACCTCTCCCTTTCCCCTCAGCATGGCTGGCTTAGGAATTCTGGGAGTTGAAGTCCACGAGTCATAAAAGAGCCAAGGTTGCCTACCCCTGAACTATACCAATTCTTTTTTTTTTTTTTAAACAAGATGTAAGAGCCTTTCTGGTCAAACTGATGTTTGTCAACGCTTGTTGAAAAAGTATAAATTGATGCAATTACACGAGAGGAAAACCTTTCTTTACATTCTGTTGGAGAAGACGATTGCGGCCGGGGTGTGGAGGAATGTAGTCTGGAGTCCCAGGAGAGAGGGACTGCTTCTCAGAGGACAAAGAGGCAGTGGAGCTTGAAAAGTCTGGAAGGCAGGAAGAGAGCTAAGATGAACCCCTCTAGAGCAGTTCACAAAGTATTATAATTATGCGGATAGTTGCTTAAGTCCGGCAAGATTCGGTCTGTAGGTGAACAATAATAAACAACTCAGAAGTAACCCCATGTGTTGTTCTTGGTTCTTGGGGCCTGACACAGACTGTGTAGATGGGAGTAATGGCAGAGTTTATTTTCTAGCAGCTATAGCAAGGTTTTTTGTGTAGGCCCATAACATGCTGTCACAATTTAAAGAATCATAGAATTGTGGAGTTGGGAAGGACCACACGGATCATCTAGTGCAGTGGTGGCAAACCTATGGCACGGGTGCCAGAGGCGGCACTCAGAGCCCTCTCTGTGGGCATGCGTGCCGTCGCTCCAGTCCTAGGCCTTCAGCTGGGTTTTATAAAACTTTTTCGCTTTAGGCCTCCACCACCATGTGCAAAAAAAAAAAAAAGATTCAATCAATCAGTCAATTTCAACTTCTCGCAGGAAAAAAAAGATCTTGCAAAGTTGGAATTGATTGGTTGAACTTTTTAGTCCCACCCAGTCTGCCGTGACCACCGCAGCCACGCCCACCCAATGGGCCACACCCATCCAATGGGCCACACCCACCCGGCACCCGACGATGCATAAGTGGGTTTTGGGTTGCAGTTTGGGCACTCGATCTCTAAAAGGTTCGCCATCACTGATCTAGTGCAACTCTGTGAAGTGTGCAGGTAAGCTCTCTAAACCAGGGGTGTCAAACTCGCCGCATCACGTGACGTGTCGCAACGTATTGTGACTTTTTTCCCCTTGCCGGAGTTGGGGTGGGCGCAGCTTCCGCGTGACGCATCTGGCCTGCGGGCCGGCAGTTTGACACCCCTGCTCTAAACAATCCTCCAGGTTTGCTGTCTTCTGAACCACTTCTTAGGTTTTATATAGAGGCAGTCCTCGTTTAGTAGCCACAATTAGGACTTGCAACTCTGTTGCTAAGTGCTGTGGTTGCTAAGCGAAATGGGACCGTGCTGATCTTACAACCTCACTTCCCCTTTGGTCGTTAAGTCATGTGACCATGACTTTTACTTCCACTTTTTCTATTAATTCATTCTCTTGATTACGCTTCCTGCAAGCCAGTTGGGAAGCACATCAGTGGTGAGATGATGATAAAGGTGAGCGTGGCTGCAAGGCTGTTTTTTAAACACCATCGTAACGTTGAATGGTCGTTAAACGAGTCATTCGTAAAGCGAGGACTGTCTGTAGTTCTCCCAATGCTAAATGTGCTCATCTCTCTCTCTGCTTAATTTATGGCAGGTTTTCGAAGGATATGCTCAAACTAAACCATATGCTATGAACACTACAGGACCCACTGCCCCCCCAGACAGAAAGACCACCGATTTGAGAGTATACATGTTGTGCTTCCTTCCACCTGTAATCCTCTTGGTTTTCATTCGAGATCTGAAGCATCTCTCTGTGTTCTCATTCCTTGCGAATTTAGCCATGGCTGTCAGCTTGATCGTTATTTATCACTACGTTATAGAGGTGAGTAGGAAGTATTTCTCCACCGTTTCATTTTTCAGTGTCACATTTGGTTGGGTTCTGCCCCACAGACCCCAATCCTTTCTAATGTGAATTTGGTCCTGTGTTTCTGTACCTTCACACAAGCACCAGAGGGTGGTTGAAACTATCTCACTGGAGAAGAAAACAAGGGATTAAACAACTACTGTACAGGGAGTCCTCAATTTACGACCACAAGAGAGCCCAAAATTTATGTGGCTAAGTGAGACATTTATTAATTACGGTTGTTGAGGGAATCACTGCAGTTGTTAAATTAGTAACACCGTTGTGAAGTGAATCTGCCTTTCCCACTGACTTTGCTTGTCAGAAGATTGCAAAAGGGGATCACGTGACCCTGGGACACTGCAACGGTCATAAATGTAAGTTAGTTCCCAAGTGTTTGAATTTTGATCATATGACCCTGGGGATGCTGCCACGATCGTAAGTATGAAAATCGGTCGAAAGTCACTTTTATCAGTGCTGTTGTAACTTTGAAAATGTCACTAAAGGAACTGTTCTAAGTTGAGGACTACCTGCATGGAATTTGTAAAGTGATTTGAGCCTTTCTGTTTTAGTGGCTGCAACAGCAGTCTTTTTTCCCCAAAGAAAACACGACTCTGGTCTTGAAATCATCAGGGATTGAGCTAAGCTTGAGGCCTTAAGATCATATCTCATCCTACCACTGATGTGTCACGGTTCCAACACACGAACCCAACCAAGCAAAGACCTTCGAGATATTTCGATCTGTTAATGTAAAACTTTATTGAGCACATCATTTCGGCACTAATGAAAGCAAAATCAGCTCTGGCATATAGTAAAAGCATTGAATTCTCCCTCCTCCCTCTGGGTCAGGTCACGTTGCCCAATGAAATAGAAAAATGTTGTTATGAGAAATCATCTCTAGGTCTAGCCAGACGCCTGGTGTAACGGCCTTGAGTCTCACGGTCTGGCTTCTTAATTTTTGAAGTCTGCATTCCAAATCTCTTCCCTCCCCCCAAGTTCGTTGGCAAGCTGAGAAGCAATATTTGTCGCACCAGCAAAAACGTGCTTCGAAACTTGACAGGATGATTGCTTAGAACGCTACTTCGCTTTTAACAATTGTAAGAAGTGAGATATACTACTAATATTCTCCAACGGATCTGATTTCGGTCATGTCAGTAGGCATTAGGTGGCCTACCTTTGCTTTTTTGAAAAAAACTGCTGCTCTTGAAACTATTGTAAACTTTAGAATAGATATATACTCCCTCTTTACTTTCTCTCCCCAGGGTTTAGCTGAACCTCAAAAACTGATTCTGGTGGCTAGTTGGAGCAGGTATCCACTCTTCTTTGGCACAGCTGTCTTTGCATTTGAAGGAATAGGTGTGGTGAGTATTTTACGTTAGAGTTAAGAACCTGCCTAAAATATCCTCTCAAATCCAAATACGTTTTCTCTTCCTTTTATTCCTCTACTATGCAATAAAAATGCATTCTATAAACATGCGATTGCCGGTTTTAAGGCTATCTTGAGGAAACTGATTGTGAAGTCATGAAGGATGGAAAAAAGTTGAGCTGGGTGGTGTTATGCACAAAGGTTGTTGTGGGAGAGAGTGAACAGAAGAAGGTGCATTAATGTCACGCCAGCCTAGATTATCTGTCCAAGGCCTGCAAGCAATAGCCCCTGCAGAAGCTTGGTGCTTTCATTAGAAGACAGCTGTGAGGTCCAAGGAACTAACAACAACACGAGTTACTTCAGAGTAGTGTCTTTATTGTTGCTCACCTACCGACAGAAATCTTGTCAAACTAAGGCACTTATCTGCATCACTACATCCTCGATCAACGGCCAAAATTAAGCCCAAAATTTCTGCTGCTAAATGAGCCAGTTGTTAAGTGAGTTTTGGCCCATTTCACGACCTTTCTTGCCACAGTTGTTCAGTGAATTCCTGCAGTGGTTGAGTTAGTAACAACCATTGTTAAGTGAATCTGGTTTTCCCATTGACTTAGCACAGGGGTCTTCAAACTTGGCAACTTTAGGACGTGTGGACTTCAACTCCCAGAACTTGGCAACTTTAGGACTTGTGGACTTCAACGCAAGGCTGGCTGAGGAATTCTGGGAGTTGAAGTCCACAAGTCTTAAAATTGCCAAGTTTGAAGACCCCTGACTTAGCATGTCAGAAGGTTGCAAAAGATGATCACTTGATCCCGGGACATTGCAACCATGATGAGTCAGTTGCCAGGCATCTGAATGTTGATCGCCTGACCACGGGGATGTTGCAGCAGTCGTAAGTGTAAAAAATTTGGGGCTCACTTGTGATTGTAAGTCGAGGACTACCTATACTCTCAAGGGGTGTTGATGAGAAATGGTTAAAAAAAAGTTCAAGATGGTGGCCGCAACAATAAGATCAAAGGTCTACTTGTTTGGTGTGTATCGTGAGAACGGGTGGGTAGAGCTTGTTGCAATCTCAGCAACGTGCAGCCAGGTATGTGAGTTTGCTTGTAGATCCCCCTTCTAAAGAGGAGCAAAATCAACATGAACTGCCTTAAGCAGTAGATGATGATCCAACATGGCAAAATTGCTGCAATTTATATGTAGAACCTTCATGGTTAGCTTGATTGCGTTTATTTTTAATTTCATTGACTGTAAATTGCCAAAGTTGTTTGAGCTAGGGAACGGTAAATATTTGCGGAAGCAAATTGATGAAATAAAGAGAAGTTTCACCCAGTTGCAGAAATCATATACAACACTTTAGCTCCTGCTTACGCAGCAGGGACTGCATAATTTTGCTTCGGGGACCCAGGAGGTAGAATTGAAAGGGCACGTCAGATTGGTAATCTTTGATTTCATGCTTACTCAGAGGGATGGACTTTCAGCCCTGTGGCCTTTTAGGTTCACTTTGCGACATTTTTTTCTCTTTCTTATTTGGAGCACATTCCTATTGTTCCTTAAACAAGTGGGCAACATTTTAATGGCTGGAGGCTATTTCATGGCTGAATTTGGCCTACAAAATGGATAAAGACAAATTCTATGTGTGATACACAGTTGTCCTTTGTGTCCCTATAATAATAATAATAAAGTTGGAAGGGACCTTGGAGGTCATCTAGTCCAACCCCCTGCTCAGGCAGGAAGCCCTATACCATTTCGGACAAATGGCTGTGCAGTCTCTTCTTAAAAACTTCCAGTGTTGGAGCATTCACCGCTTCTGGAGGCAGGTTGTTCCACTGGTTAATTGTTCTCACTGTCAGGAAGTTTCTCCTTAGTTGTAGGTTGATTCTCTCCTTGATTAGTTTCCATCCGTTGCTTCTTGTTCTGCCTTCAGGCACTTTGGAGAATAGCTTGACTCCCCCTTCTCTGTGGCAGCCCCTGAGATATTGGAACACTGTTATCATGTCCCCCCTTGTCCTTCTCTTCATTAAACTAGACATACCCATATTCCAACAACTGTTCCTTATATGTTTTAGCCTTCAGTCCCCTAATCATCTTTGTTGCTCTTCTCTGTACTCTTTCTAGAGTCTCAACATCTTTTTTACATCGTGATGACCAAAACTGGATATAGTATTCCAAGTGTGGCCTTACCAAGGCATTGTAAAGTGGTATTAATACTTCACGTGATCTTGATTCTATCCCTCTGTTAATGCAGCCTAGCACTGTGTTGGCCTTTTTGGCAGCTGCAGCACACTGCTGGCTCATATTTAAGTGATTGTCCACTAGGACTCCAAGATCCCTCCCACAGTTGCCCCCATTGACTTTGCTTGTTGAAAGCTGGATGTCTTTGGGTTTGGGCAAGCCATGATCAGTGGGTTGCAATTAAACTATAGGTCCAAGCCCTCAATATAGCAGTGATACTATCAATTGGCTCTTATGTCTAGGATACTTTGGAAGTAAAGGTAAAAGGTAAAGGTTTCCCTGTCCAGTCATGTTTGACTCGAGGGCATGGTCCTCATCTTTGCTTCTTGGCCAAGGGAGCCATTGTTGTCTGAAGATGCCTCCATGGTCATATGGCCAGCATGACTATATAACAAGGCACACAGAAATGCTGTTATCTTCCCACCGAAGGGGTACCTATTTACCTACTCGCATTTGCATGCTTTCAAACTGCTAGGTGGGCAGGAGCTGGAGCAAGGACGGAAGCTCACCCCGTTGCATGGTGCTCAGGTCTCAAACCTGGGCTGTCAGCTTTCCAGCCGACAAGCTCATTGTCTTTAACCACTGAGCCGTTGAGCCCATCTCCTTTGGAAATAGCTTACATAATTCTCATACACCAGTGATGGCGAACCTTTTAGAGACTGAGTGCCCAAACTGCAACCCAAAACACCNTGAAATTTGGAATAAATGTTATAATTGGCTAGAACAGAGAAAGAAAAAGACATAATTATTGATGTATATAAAATGTAAATAAGATGTAAAGAATATTTAAAATGTAAAGCACTGTTCTGTTAGAAGAAAAGATTTATGTTTATGTAGTTTTTGGTGTATGGTGTATGGTGAAAAATAAAAAAAAAATTGGAAAAAAAAAATAGAGAATGAGTGCCCAAACTGCAACCCAAAACCCACTTATGCATTGTCGAGTGCCGGGTGGGTGTGGCCCATTGGCTGGGTGTGGCCAATTGAGTGGCGTGGCCAATTGGGTGGGCGTGGCTGCAGTGGTAACGGCAGACTGGGTGGGACTAAAAAGTTCAATCAATCAATTCCAACTTTGCAAGATCTTTTTTTTCCCTCCAGAAGTTGAAATTGACTGATTGAACCTTTTTTTTTTTTTTTTTTTTGCACACGGCAGCGGAGGCCTAAAGCGAAAAGGTTTTATAAAACCCAGCTGAAGGCCTAGGACTGGGGCGACAGCTCGCGTGCCCACAGAGAGGGCTCTGAGTGCCGCCTCTGGCACTCGTGCCATAGGTTCGCCACCACTGTCATACACTCGGTTGTATTATGGTTGCACTTTTTCCAAATTTGCAGTTGCTGAGTGCCCCCCAAAATATCTATTTTTAATCATTCAAATTTTCAGGAAGAAACTATTCAGACATGAAACTCTTCTTTGAGCGTTTCAATAGCGAGACAGACGGCATATAAATTTAATAAATAAATAAAATTGAAATGTCTTATCCTCCTCTTCACATATCTGTATCCTCTCTTTTTCAGGTGCTCCCCATTCAGAATAGGATGAAAGAAGTTAACCGCTTCCCAGTGGCACTCAACGTTGGCATGGGAATTGTGATGTCCTTGTATATTTCATTAGCCACCCTGGGATACGTACGATTTGGAGACGAAATCAAAGCCAGCATTACTCTCAACCTGCCACAAGATCAATGGTCAGTCGAAGCATCATGATGATGATGATGTTGATGTTGATGATGATGATGATGATGATGTTGTTGTTGATGATGATGATGATGATGATGATGATGATGATAATAATAATAATAATAATAATAATAATATAATGAAGTTGGAAGGGACTTTGGAGGTCTAGTCCAACCCCCTGCTTAGGCAGGAGAACTTATACCATTTCAGACAAATGGCTGTCCAGTCTCTTCTTAAAAACCTCCAGTGTTGGAGCATTCACCGCTTCTGGAGGCAGGTTGTTCCACTGATTAATTGTTTTAATTGTCAGGAAATTTTTCCTTACTTCTAGGTTGCTTTTCTCTTTGATTAGTTTCCATCCATTTCTTCTTGTCCTGCCTTCAGGATAAGACTTGATTTTTTTAGCATCCTTGTAATTACAAAGTATTCTTCTTAATTGGTGTGAGTATTCCCAGTAACATCTATCCAGCCCACTAGAGTGGGGAGGAAGGATATATTATGGGTCCTCTCCATTAAGGAGGTCCATGTAGTGGGATGAAGAAGAAAGGCCTCTCTCCCCATGGAACATAATTTCTGTGGAGATAAGATTAGCCCCACCATGATATTCTTTCAAAAGGCCCTGAAGCCATGGCTTTGTCGGCAAGCCTGGTGACCCCAGGATGATACAGAGAATTTCAAGTGGTTTGTCTAATTTTTGCTGCCAGAGGTATGTGTGTGTCAGGGGGGGCATTGTATTTGAAGTTTTATTTCTGTAAGCCACCTGGAGTCACTGTGAGTTAGTTGGGTGCCCATAAACATTATGATAAGGTAGGGTAGGGTAGAGTAAGGTAGGGTAAGGTAGGGTAAGATAAGGTAGGGTACGGTAGGGTAGGATAAGGTAGGGTAGGGTAGGGGAAAGTAGGGAAAGGTAGGGTAGGGTAGGGTTAGGGTTATCTGGGTTTGGCTCTGGATAGACAATGATGACACATGGAACGGTCTAGCTCAGGGGTTCTTAACCTTGATAACTTTAAGACTTGTGGACTTCAACTCCCAAAGTTCCTTAGCCAACTTTGCTGGCTAAGGAATTCTGAGAGTTGAAGTCCACAAGTCTTAAAGTTGCCAAGGTTGAGGACCCCTGGTCTAGCTGAAGTTCCAAGCCGCAATGTGCTTGGCATATACACAGGGCCAAACACATTTTTGGCTTTGCGTGCATCCCTATTGTGAACCGAGGGAGCCAATTATTTGACAGTTCACCAAATACAATTTGCAACGGTTCCTTTGCTTTGTTGCAGACTGTCGTTGTAATTCATAGGTTTTGTTCAACTATTCACAGGTTGTACCAAATGGTCAAGATCCTTTATTCCTTTGGGATTTTTGTGACCTACTCGATTCAATTCTACGTTCCAGCTGAGATCATCATTCCCATTGTAGCGACCAGAGTGCAGCAGAAACTGAAGCTGATCTGTGAGTTGGTAGTGAGAATGCTTCTGGTCTGCTCAACCTGTAAGTACAAAGGGTGTGATAGGCAGAAAGAAAAAAAAACCCTATTAAACTTAAAGCTCAAATCTTCTCCCTTTCTCTGGAAGTGTGAATACCCCTAACAAATCAGCTATGTCTTCTTGAGTTTGTGTTATCTACCTGTCTCTTATAGGCTGGGACATTTTCATTACAGATAGTCCTCTACTTATGAGCCCCAAATTTCTGTTGCTACGCAAAACATTGGCTAAGTGAGTTTTGTCCCATTTTATCATCTTTCTTGCTACAATTGTTAAGTGAATGGCTGCCGTTATTAAGTTAGTAATGGTTGTTAAAGTGCAAAAGAATGGAGGCCTTTGAACTATGGTGCTGGAGAAGACTCCTGTGAGTCCCCTGGACTGCAAGGCGATCAAACCGGTCAGTCCTAGAGGAGATCAACCCTGACTGCTCTTTAGAAGGCCAGATCCTAAAGATGAAACTCAGGTACTTTGGCCACCTAATGAGAAGAAAGGACTCAATGGAGAAGAGCCTCATGCTGAGAAAGATTGAGGGCAACAGAAGAAGGGGACGACAGAGAATGAGGTGGGTGGATGGAGTCACTGAAGCATTAGGCGTGAGCTTAAATGGACTCCAGAAGATGGTAGAGGACAGGAAGGCCTGGAGGAACATTGTCCATGTGGTCGCAATGGGTCGGACACGACTTTGCAACTAACAACAACAATGGTTGTTAAGTGAAACTGGCTTCCCTGTTGACTTTGCCTATTAGAAGGCCCCAAAAGTTGATCACATGACCCTGGGACACTGCGACCGTCATAAATATGAGTCAGTTGCCAAGTGTTCGAATTTTGATCATGTCACTGTGGGGATGCTGCTATGGTCATAAGTGTGAAAAACAGTCATAAGTCACATTTTTCAGTTTCGTTGTAACTTCAAATAGTCACTAAAAACTGCTGTCAGTCAAGGACTACCTCTATATCCTAGCCTACGTTTTCCCCTTCAGTTTGACATTTGTAGCATCTCCACTCTGAGGGCCTGTAGGAAAGTCCAGGTTTAATTGCTTTTTTAAAAAAAAACCAACAGGAATTATTTGTGCCACATTATTTGGCCAATAGTTTCTAAATTATTATCTGCAAACTAGTGAATCATTATACATTTGCTGATAAAAATAAAAGGACTTTTGGGGAGTGAAGGAGTTATTGTTATGCTTATTGTTTTGTAATAATTTGGAGTTTTATTGGTCTTTTATGTTTTCACCATGTTTTTATCCTTTATAGTGTAAACTTCCAGGAGTTATTCTTTGAGGGCAATAGTGACACTATTGTGGCAATGGTTTGCCATTGTCCAACAGGACTATTTTTTAATTTCTTAATATAGATCAGTGGTGGCGAACCTGTGGCACGCGTGCCAGAGGCGGCACTCGGAGCCCTCTCTGTGGGACGCACTCCATGCCCCGGAGATGGCAACTGTCCTCTTCAACCAGCCACCCGCTAACTCGCCGAGGTCCCACAGGTCCCCCGAGGTGCTGGGATGAATCCGTCTGCATCCCAGCACCCATGCGCTTGCTGGCCTCTGTGTACGGTGGCCGATGGTGTCAGGCAACAGCCGCCCCGCCCCTGCCTTGCTTTGCCCTGCGACATGGCACCCCTGCCCTGCCTCACCTCACCCCACAGAACCAGCCTCCTGCCCACCGTCCCAGCCGCCAGAGACCCCTGGATCTCCCCCAACCCTGCCCAGCCCCACAGGTGTTCCTCCCCAGGGGCAACATCGAGCTGGCCATGCCTACCCTGGCCACGCCCACCCGTCTGCCATGACCACTGTAGCCACACCCACCCGGCGGGCCACACCCACCCAGCGGCCACGCCCACCTGGCACCTGGCAATACATAAGTGGGTTTTGGGTTGAAGTTTGGGCACTCGGTCTCTAAAAGGTTCGCCATCACTGATATAGATCATAACCTTTCCTGATGATTTCTAATCTAAAACACTAACGCTCTATAATTCCCCTTATCTTTTTGACATAAGCCAGCATCAGTCGGATGGTGCTACCTGCTGTAGACCAGTAACTATAATGTTACGTAAACTATATTCTGATGTTATTTCTCTATTTTTTTTTAAAAAAAGTCTCACAGCTTGAAAATCTTCAAAACTCAGATAGTCCTCAATTTACAACCTTTTGTTTAATGACTGTTCGAAGTTACTATGGCACTGAAAAAAGTGACTTATAACCATTTCCCCACACTTCTGACTGTTGCAGCATCCTCATGGTCACATCATTAAAATTTGGTTGCTTAAAGCTTGGAAATTATAAATATTAAATGTTAAATTTAAATATTAACGGGAAACTAAAAATTGGGAAAAACTAATTAGGACAGTGATTGTCTATAAAGACTGAATGTTAAAATAACCAGGATATGTATCAGCTAAAAATTATTGATAAATGTAAGAATGTTATTTTTATTTAATTGATATAATATAATTGGGGACTGGAGGCTAAAACATATAAGGAACGGTTGCTGGAATTGGGTATGTCTAGTTTAACAAAGAGAAGGACGAGGGGGGACATGATAGCAGTCTTCCAATATCTCAGGGGCTCCCCCAAAGAAGAGGGAGTCAAGCTATTTTCCAAAGCACCTGAAGGCAGGACAAGAAGCAACGGGTGGAAACTAATCAAGGAGAGAAGCAACCTAGAACTAAGGAGAAACTTCCTGACAGTTAGAACAATTAACCAGTGGAACAACCTGCCTCCAGAAGCAATGAATGCTCCAACACTGGAAGTTTTTAAGAAGAGACTGGACAGCCATTTGTCCAAAATGGTATAGGGTTTCTTGCCGGAGCAAGGGGTTGGACTAGATGACCTCCAAGGTCCCTTCCAACTTTTTTATTATTATTATTATTATTATTATTATTATTATTATTATTATTATTATTATTATTATTATAAGAATTGTATTCGTTTAAACATGAGACAGTAAATCGATTAACTCAGCTGCCACATTGCTTTTTAAATACTTGAAGGTAAAATTAGAAAATCAATAAAACATTATAAAAAAAATAATAAAATTCGGATGCTTGGCAATGGGCTCGTATTTATGACGGTGGCAAGTGTCCCTGGGTCATGTGGTCACCCTTTTGCCACCTTCCGACAAGCAAAGTCAAGGGGGGAAGCCAGATTCACTTAACAACTGTCTTACTAACTTAACAACTGCAGTGGTTCACTTAACCACGGTGGCGAGAAAGGTCGTAAAATGGGGCAAAACTCACTTAACAACTGCCTTGCTTAGCAGAATAAATTTTGGGCTGGTAATGGTGATGGTAAGTCGAAGACTACCTGCAGCTTTCATTTTGCAAAATAAAAACATTTTACTTAAATAATGCAATACAACCCCCTGCTTTCCAAGGAAGGCTTGGAAATACTGCATCTAGCTCAGGAGTAGTCAACCTTGGCTCTTTTATGACTTGTGGACTTCAACTCCCAGAATTCCTGAGCCAGCCATGCTGAGGGGAAAGGGAGAGGTTTCCAAGCTCAGCCATGCTGGCTCAGGAATTCTGGGAGTTGAAGTCCACGAGTCATAAAAGAGCCAAGGTTGCCTACCCCTGATCTAGCTGAATGGGATTAAAATATCTTAGAATTAGGAGATAGCTATTCATGAGAGGCTTATGAGATTTATTCAACTTTCTTATTAAAAGGCTGGTCGTTTGGTTGTATTCCCCCACCCCCATCAAGCCTATCAAGAAACTGATTATTGCCTTACCCCTAAACTGTTCTTATAAAAAGGTTCCTGTGGGTTGATATTTCTCTCTACTCTTCCGCAGGGTCTGTTGCCCCTTTAGTTTTAATTCATAACCTCTCTAAGCCATTAATATTTATCACTTGATTGTCCAAAAGGACAGATTGATGGCAATGTCCATTATCAGGAACATCAACCATTATTTGTGTCAAAGGCTTTAACAACCAAAGAGGTACTCAGCGACATTAACCTGGGGTAAGGTTAATGTTGCTCTTGAGAAAATAACAGCTGAAGAATAGAGCGATCAGTTCAATTCTCTGGAAAAAAAAATAGATATATTGGGGAGGGAAGATAAAACGATTTCTCCTTGTCAGCTTGGGACTTTAGCAAAACCCAAGTGGTATGTAGTTATGTAGTTTATAAAGAGGAAAGAAAAATAAACAATATGAGTCATGAAGAATAAAGTGACAAGTATGGGTGTATTAGAGTGTTATATTTAACTCTCCAAATATCTCTCTTTTTTTAAAAAAAAGTTTGATGTAGAATACCACAGCTGTATGTTGGCTGAAAATAATCAAGTTCATTTCATGCTGTTTATATAGAAGAAATTTCTTCGTCAAGGACAATAGCTGTTTTTTTTTTCATCTATGAATAACTTATTCATTTGGTGTCAGGAAGGGCATTCGGCCCGTAAATGCTCAACTCCATCCAATCGTCACGACTCTACCCCGAATTAAGAGATTACAGGGACATAAAAAAGGAAGCATTATTTATTAATACTTGCCTTCCATTGACTGGAGAACTGGTTATGGTACAAATATATTACATTAAGCTTGCCTTTCTCTTTTTGATATTTTAACAGTAGAGTACTCCTCCAAGTTAGGCTCAGATCTGTCATGACCATCTGAAGAAGATCTTTGATTCTATCTTAGAGATTCAGATTCTTAGGAGTCTTAAGTCTATAGGTCTACCAACTTTCCAATTCAAATTCCTACACACCCACATTGTAGACCAAGGCTCTTCAAACTTGGCCGTTTTATGACTTGTGGACTTCAACTCCCAGAATTCCTCAGCCAGCATGCCTGGCTGAGGAATTCTGGGAGTTGAAGTCCACAAGTCATAAAAAGGCCAGGTTTGAAGACCACGGCTGTAGACTGTTGGTAAGGAAGATGAGTGTAGGCAAGGAATACCATCCAAGAACGCTCTTCTGCAAGGCTCTTAACCGAAGTCCTTCAAAATATATATTAGTTGTGTAAGTGTTGAGATCTTTTGTAAAACATCTTTCTTGCCATACGCTTGA